AAAGACTGAGAAATAAGTTCCTGCTTGAGCCCAATATATCCCTGCAGAGAACCAGTGAGGAAAGAAAAAAACCCCAACACTGAGACAAAACCCAAATCCAAACCATGCAAATCATAGCTGAATAATAAAAACCAAAATTCAAGCCCGTACCCAAGGTGTCCCTTGCAACAGAGACAGCTGATTGCTTTCTAAACTGCAGAACCAGCCATTTCTGTAGCTCCTAAATAACAAGTTTGGCAATAGTTACCATGCACAAAATAAAGGCCACTTATAAAACATCTCCATAAAAATATCTATTTATCTCTATATCTCTATTTATATATGTCAGTAAGAAGCATCAGACTGAGCACAGCCCAAGCACTCCATGATGGGGGGCAAATTGATTTAATCTCCATTAAATTAAGCACTCTTGGTTATGACTGGCATCCACATGTAGAATTAAGTCAGTACAGGCAATTTCCATCAGGCTTCTCTTAATTAGCACTAGTCAAACGGGGTAGCAGGATTGTTGGGAAGCTGAAGCCTTTCAGGAATGTTGTGCCAAATCATGCTGTTGTGTCAGAGGAACTCCCTGGACTCTGGCTGCTCAATGTGTGAGTCAGCTCATTAGGACTGAGGATAATTTATGTGATACCTGCCCAGCCAGCCCACTGATGAGTCTTGATCCACTGAAGAGCAGAGGAAAATTTCCCCATTGCTCATGTATGACTGAGACTGACCATGCAAAGCAGGTCTGTGGAAAGCCAGTTCTCTGTGCTTCAGAGTTAGTAGCAACCAAGTGATGCCTTAGCCTTCTTTATTCAAGTGACTCTGATCCCTTCTCTTAAGAATTTGGAGCTTCAAAAAATCAGATACAATGCAGGAGTTACAATAGGGTGAGTGTAGTGTCTCAGGTATTCCACATACAGAAGCACTTTTTCCCCTCAGAGATGCTGATCCAATGAAAATAAAATTATTTAATAACCAGTGTTGAGAGTTTTCTTGGATGTGTTCATAACAGAAACCTGTAGGAGTGCTGACTTGTTGGCTCTGTTGAGCTGGACCTTTAATACTCCAAAAGACTAAAATCACTAGAAGCATATATAGTATAATTTTTGGTGTCCTACTTTGGACATTACCAGCAGCCTTGTATAGCTGCTACAAAATCACAAGGGAAACTGATGGCTGAGAACTCAATCTGAGATCTTGTGGCCCTATGAAAAATAGATGCTAGCTTTTGCCAGGTATAATTTTATTACTGATATCTCTTGGGAAAATTTGAACTAAGCAATAGAAGGTAACCATGCTGCATGGAATGAAGTGCAGCTGCCTAATTTTCAGACTCTCTCTGCCGGGCAATGTTGTGATTTTGGAACAGATTCAAACAAGTTATAAAATAATGCCGCAGATGGCAGAAACCAAACTTGAACTTTCAGTCACTGAGTACCATGAACAGATAAAAACCTACTGCAAATATAAAAGATGAGAGGAATTGAGTGGCACATAACCTTTCCACTACAATGATTACATTTTAGGAAGGTGAAAGGCTTCACCTTGGTCAATGTAGCAAGCATGGCTGGGAAGGAGTTTAAAGGTGACAGTAAAAGTTAGTAAATTTGTCAGTGAGAGGGAACACTTCTAGAGTAGAGAAAGAGATGTGAAAAAACCCAGAACTGTCAGCAATTTTCTTTCCTTGGAGCAATAGGTAGAGGGGTTTGAAAAAAAGGAAACATTAGATATCTACAGAGATCTTATTCTTTCTCTTACCAGGAACTGTGTAGTGAAAGGGACTTTACACTGCGTTTCAGTGTGCAGCAAAGGCAATTTCTCTTTGTTACTTTGCCCTATTGTAGTAGTTTATGCTCCAGGGATAAAGGTCTCATTAGAGCAAGACAAAAACTCTGCAGACAGACCTTGATTTTACAACAGAAATAACTTACAGCTAGCTGCTGATACTGTGTCCAGTGTTTTATGATGGCAAACCATAGATCTACTTCTAAACATTTGCCCAAAGGAGTTTTTCAAGACAAAGCAGTGCAGGGCTATTTGTTCAGCTTGTGAAGGATTTATTGCCTGTGGCAAGGTCAGACTCCTTCAGTGACACATGTACTGTAAGCATGAGAACATGCACTTTAGAGCCAACATTAGCATACAGGGGATGGCTACTTTGTCTTTATTCAGCCAAGTTTATCTTCCATATTTCTACATGGGTTTAGAAAAATAATACACAGACTTGGCTAGTTGCTCCATTGCTAACCAAAGCCAAGAAGAAATGAAGGACAGCTGTTAGGCTGGGAATACCCCAGATGAAGCCTGCTTCCACCTGACCTGAGTCATCTAAATTTACTGTTTTCTGGCTGATTGTTGCCTTGCTCCACTGACTCTATCTGCCTTAAAGAGCCTGATGATAGCCTACTACCCTGGAAATGGAGTCAGTGGGGAAAAAATATTATGACTGGACAGGATGTTAGATTATGTCATCTAGGTTCCCTTTCCCACAAAATGTTGGACCAGAAGGTGTTTTGTGGTCCCTTTCAATCTGTGATGTTCAGTAAGATGGTGAAAAGGTGACAAAAGACAGGGACAGGCAGCAACACATCTGAGACTTTTCTTCTAAGCAAAGTAAAAGGTAAAAGACTTTGGGTCTTGTGACTCTGTACTCTCACCAGCAACCTAGAGCAGCTTGTTTAAGTTTCACATCTTCAGCTGTACTCTTACAATAGCCTATTTGAAAGCATGTGAAAGACATGACCTCAAATATTTTGGCCAAAAAGGCAATGAACATGTGGCAATATATAACTGGCCACAGCACTGTACCTATCCCAAGCTGCTAACTGGAAAGCAAGAAACTCTTTCTGGTACAGTTTATTTTTCTGCATGCTAAACATTCCCTCAAATGGTTTCAGCTCTAGTGTCTGTGAATTCCAGTTATTTACATTTCTCACCTCTCAGAAAATGTTATCTACCCACCTTCTCAATAAATTAGAATTTCTCTGTGCTAGAATTCAGAATGCTAGTTTGTTGAATATTATCAGTATAAATACCTCTGCATTATAACAATTAATATGGTGATAGTACATCTCTGACCCTTGGAGACAGCAGAATTAAAGCTATGGAATCTGAGGAAATAGCAATTTGCTCTTCCTTATATGCTATTACATACCAAGTGAGAATATTAATCTATGGTAAAACTAAAGGTACACAGTTTTATGTTTGTTGTTTAATCCAGATGGTCTTCCTTAAGGAAACAACAGCGGTGGGAGTACAAATAGACATTATTGGAAGCTGCTGAATCACAGAAGAAGCAGGGATGCTAAATTTGTTATTTGCTTATATGTATATTTCCCGAGTATATCTTACCCCCTGAAGTGGTTCTGGTTGTCCCTAAATAATTGCTCAGCTTTGCTCATATGATATTTTGAAAATTAGTGAAAAGAAATACATCTCTGTGAAACAACCTGTTGATACCAAATATTTTTTTTACAGTAAGTGACTTTTAAACAAGACTTCTTGTGTAAAAAAGCCATGAATTGGCCCCTTTTCTTCCTGATTCTTAAGCTGTTGGCATAATAAGGGTTTTAAGTGTAGTGCCTCAAGAAAAATCTGCTTAGATGTGAAAGTCAGAGTTAAAAGAACAGTGTTACAGATTGTTAAATAAATGCTTTTCCATTACCAGGTTCAAGTCTTGGTCTCATTTGAGGCATCATATGTGCCTGCTACTGTAGGGCACAGCCTGAGTTTATCTTAAAAATTGCACTTAATTTCAAGAGCGAGGGATTTTGCTAGCACTGCAGACTCATGGATTTGGAGCAAGTTTGGTATCTTATTCACCCATATCATGGCAGCAGTTGTGGTGCAGACATCATATCCTGAACAGCCTTAGGTTTTGGAGGTGCATGTGCAAACGCACATGGCTGCAGTGACACAAGTGGCAGCAGAAGGGAGCAAAGACTCTCTTTGTCACAATGTTCAAGTATCAGTCGGGCTTTACACTTGAACCTTCACTCCCATCTCTTGGACCTAGGGCTTTTCTGTAGAAATGAGAAATATTCCTGCATAAAACTCCTTCTAGGGGTTTCAACAGCCAGCACAAAAGAATGTTCAGAACATGGTCAGACCATGTTCTGAACACAGTATCCCACCAGGACTTTGCCACTTTTATATTTCACGAAGGAAGTTAAGGTCTTGGATGGATCCAGGGATTTGGTGGGTGGTTAAGGCAGTGTATGCTGTAGACAGAGCAACAGTGCCTCTGACTCAGGTGGTTGCTGCACTGATGCCTCTTTGCCTAGGTTTCACATTCTCCCATTGCATTTAACACCGTTCTTTTATAAATGCACAGTTCTTTTATAAAATGCTTCATGTCATAAAAATGTTTTAAAGCCTGATAAAGTAGTTTATTAAAAGGAACAGACACAAGTCTGTTGAGCTGGGCATACATTGTTCTTGATGGTTTCAATAAAAGGCTCTCATTCATGAAGGAAAGACAGAGTTTTGATAGGAAAGGAAGGCAAACAACCCACACTCAGTCATTTGTAGTACGTAACCCTTGTTAGGCAGGCAATGCCTAACATTCAATACTGAATCTGCAGTAACAAATGTGAGCAGAACTGAAAGCAGAATGCTTGCTGCTACCTGCAAAGTGATCAGAAAGGGAAAAAAGCAGAAAGGCAGTCATTAAATTTCTACCGAAACCCTGCTCTCAGACCCTTTACCCACCTCAACATGTACAGATGTACACTTTGTAACAGGTAACACTGATGCAGGAGGAATATACTTGCACTTCAATAAATCTTCCCTGGTTTTAGCACCCTCTTATCTATAACTGCATTCTGACGTACCTTTTTTTCATTTTCAAGGGGTCTTTTCTTAAGAAGCCTTTCCAACTTCTGTCCTTTCCAAATTGATTTCCTGGTACTAGAGATGTTAAAAATACAAGCAATGATAAGAATATACAAAGCATGAGGAAACAGCTGTTATGGTGATTAAAACTATTTCAAATGTCTTTTTTTTCTTTTTTTCCCTCCTCTTTATTTACCAATCTGGTTTCTGATAGAACTTTAGTTAAAAGGAAAGACATTCACAGAAGATATTTATGAATACAAACACACTGCCCTTCATTAATTCTAATTTGCATGCTGTTGCTGTTAGAAGGCAAGGTTTCTGTTTAATTTCTCTAGGATGAATAATGGCATCTGATTACCAGAATTTAAGTTCTGCTTTTCAAGAATGACATCCCTTCAGGATCACCATGCTTGATGGAATGTAAAATCATTCATGGGATAAACCATATTGAAAGCTATTGCTTGTTGAACTTAGCTTCACATTTCAACAGATACCCTGGAAATTAGATGAATTTGCCATTAAAGGACATTGTTTTAATTAAAATGAATTCTTACCAGTACAATAAACTTGTACATATACACCACTGCTTTGGCAGTCTTACTGAAATATTTGTGATGCCCATCCTCTCACATATATCATGCTGCCTAGAGCATGACCCTAAAATGCTGCCATAGCTTTGAAGTGGTAGCTGCTAGAAGAGATATAAAAGGTACAGGTAAAGATTAAGACACAAAAATTACAAAGCAGGAATGCTCCAGTACGAGTTAAAGATACATATTTCTATTTCATACATCTGAATTTTCTATCAGTAAATACGGAATAAGCAGTGTGTGAAAGACCTGATTCAAAACCGCCAGACTGAACTGCGGATTTTCCTTGAGGCTGGGTTGACATCAAAATAAGTTTTCCATTGTTTTGGCTCCTTGGAGCTCCTTGTCTCATTACCTGGTGGTCTGCAAGTCTTGTGAATGAGAATCCAAAATATTGCTTACATTATTTCACTAACATTGAGAGCCCTGATCTCCAGCCCGACTTCCTCTCCCCACTGCTGGTGGCAATTTTGCCGTTGTTTTCTGTGGTGTCAAGAAGGACCCTTTGGAAACACAACTGGGACACTTTGGTTCCCAAACCAGTACAAGAAGCTACATTTCTCTGCACAGTTCAAATAGGTGAAACAGCTAAAATACAGGTGATAAAAGACTGATTATTTTAATATTCTTTGGGGAAAGTACAGAGTTTTATAAAAGCAGGATCCACTCTCCCCTCAAACAGATGTTCCTGCATACCTGTTGAACTACATGGATTTTTGGCACAAGTAAGATGGATGTTGTTTCAGCCTTCAATGATAGGCTTGCAGTGGAAGAAATTCTCAGAATAGATGTAATGCTAGCAAAATACACAGGCTATGTCTCCTGCTTCACTGCCAGGATGCTGAATGATCAGTGCCTATAATTAAACATACACCATTCTCAGAAATGAAATACAAAGCAGAAAGGCAGGAATTCACCCAAAGTCACCAAATCCCTCTACAGAGACAGCTGCTTGTTGATATCATGTCTAAGGTCCAGTTTAAGGAGAAACAAGAATTCTAATATTTAAAGGTTTCTAGGTTATGAAAGTGACTGTATTTTAACACAGCACTAATGTATTTCACAGAAAAAGGTCCATGGTGTCCATTCAATGGAGAGGTGCAGATGATCCTGACTTGATTTCAGAAATTTGAACTGTTTTTCAAACTTAAGACACTAATTTATAACTTGCTTATGCAATGGTCAAAGGTTATTTCCCAGAAGTTCTCGCTTAATCTCCCAGGGTTGTGGGAGATTAGCTGGTAAGTTTTTTAGAAAATCAGTGGATATCACAGGCTTCACTACCATAACCAGGGACAACTGTGTTTTGCGTTGCCAAGAACTTGGTTAGACAAGGAGACCAAGCCATCTTTCCCTTCTAATGCCATGCTGAGGCTTTTGGCCTCAGCACTATTTGCCCTATGGCTGTTAAATCTGTCTCCCCCACATAAAGTAGCAGAAGACTCTAGTCTCTCAGGATACAGAAGTCTGATCTTCCTCAGAGACATTAAATTCAGATTAGGAGTGTTTTTTCTGCAAATAAAATGCCAATCTCTGCAAATGATGCTCCGTTCACTTCTCTTGGTAGCTTGAAGTTGCAGGCATGGATGTTTTTCAGAGTGGACTAAAATACCATTAAAATAAAATGAAACATAAAATCATAAAGAAAAGATAATGCCTTTTCAATCCTATGGAGACATCTGTGATTGCTAGGTAGTTTGCTGAATGGTGGTACGGGGTAGATCCATCCCCTGCTGATATTCCCCAAGGTAAGAAGACTTATTTTACACCCATGATTAAACCCAGGACTCATCTGTGTGATTACAGGCAAGAGAGGCAGAGGTTAATAGTGGAGGCAAGGCAAAAGACTGCAGAGCACAAGAGTAACAGAGGTAATTTTTATGCCTACCTGAACCTCTCTGCCATGTATGTTACCTGAGAAACAGTAATTGCTTTTAAAACTGGCAAATTTTTTGTATGCTAATTTCAAATCCATAAATAGAATAAATTAATAGGCTTTTCTCTGATATCTATGTTCAATGATAATGTTCCTCCAAGACAGGACTTTAGGTTACCATCCTTAAAACCTGAACTACCTGGCCTGACTTTCTGACAAATTGTGCTTATCAATGTCTTGTCCGGTAAGACTCCAATATTTTCTTTCCCCTATATGATTTTTTCCCTGTTTTTAAAGTGTCAATTAGAATAATGAAATTTGCAACCAAAGAGATAATGAAATAAAAAATGCCAGCACTGCTCATTGTAGTAGATTGCATGTTTGGGTGAAAAAGAAATCTTTCTTGTGCAGAAAAATAAATTAAATCTGTGCATACTAAACCCGGAAATATTAAAGACAAAGCAAATCTAAGACTGTCAGAAGAATAAATACTTCTAAAGGGAAATTCCTGGTATCAGTTCTGTTCTTTCAGCACATGGCAAAGCCCTGCAGTATATTCATTCCTTCATTGTGTTCCACTGCAAAACCTGTCCACTAAGGCCTTAACTTCCTATCAATTCAGATCACAGGAGAATCATGCTTCTCTACAGAGGGCAAGCTAAAGCTTTGTTAAATTATTGCCACTAAAGGATATTAAGTCTTCAGGCTGCCCCTTTGTCTTTCCTTCTAGCTGCCTGACTGCTGTTCAGGTGACACCTAGGACACTCCTGATTTGAGGGGAAAAATGGAATGCAATGCTGTACTTGACATTGGCCTTGCTGTTCTTAAAAATGCCTTAGAAAGACAGTAAAATACTTTGAATAGATCTCTGTATTGAGAAGTAACTTTCCCCGTGTGCTGTGTGTTCCTCACGTGCTCTGGAGGCAGAGTTTTCAAGCCTCCTTTGCCTCACCTTCTGGACTGTGCTAACACTGCCAGTGAAGGCAAAGGGACTGAAACAAGGGATTTAAAGAATAAATTGCTATTCTCAAGTTGAAAAAAAAAAAAGGATGTGAAAGTCCATGGGTTCAAATGCACTGAGTAAAGCTGTACTAATAGTTCTATGGCAGCCTATTAAGAAGAAACAGAAGCAAACAAAGTCTGGCTCTAATTTGCTACTACAAAGTACAGAATATGCCAATATGCCACAGGCAGAGCTGAGTTTAACTTGGCATGTGCCTCAGGTGATGGACCTGGTGCCATAGACAAAGACACAGGAACAGACTAGGTCTACAGACTCACACAGCATCATCCTCCCTCAGAGAACAACAAAATAATACAAAAAACCTTTAAAGCCTCCTGTGCTTTATGATAATCCTCTTTAGTAATAGTAGTCATAATAACAGTATTTTTACATTGTTGATGAGAATTGCACACAATCAGTGAAGTGCCTGGGTCAAGAAGATGGGCCCTGCCAGGGCTGACATGGGCTGATGAGATGTTGAGAAACTGGTGAATAAGATTTGCATTAGTCCTCACCCCCTATCCCACCCCCTGGATCAGTGTCACCCAAATAAACGGTGATGTGGTCGAGGTGTGGGGCTGAGGGCAGCCTGCGGGGAAGTGGACAGCCAGGAAGGAACACAATGCTGGGAAGAAAGGGCTGCCACTTGTTCTCAGGACAGAGCCACCCACATTTTAAACAGCTTTTAAAAATATAAAAAACCAGCCCTGTTTCTTGTCACAGGTATCCAGAACATCTCTAAACACACACAGATATACACAGGTATTACTGGAAATTGTAACCAATGCTGAAGCTGCAAAACTGCTCTTTGTTGTAGTTGTTGGGATACAGAAGGGGCAATTTGCTGTAAATAAATATTAAAAAGTATTTTTTCTTAAATGCTTGAGATATTCTTTTTTTTTTCTCCAGTCTCAGTGGTATTTTCCTGTCACTTGCTCCTCCAGTTGTGCTGATCTTTTTTATCCTATGTGTGCTCAAGTGTCCGACACAGAGTGTTCTCTCTCCATTGCAAGAGTCATCCCAGTCCCACCCTGGCCCAGCTCACATCCCACCCCAGGCCCCATCCCCTTGGGTTTAGATAAGCCATTCCTTCTTGCTCTCGTCTATGGTCTCCGTGAAGTTGGGGTCATTGTTCATGATGGCGGCATCGGCGCTCTCGGCTGACTCTGCCCCTTTAGCCTCGTTGGTGTGGTAGGTTCCCTTGTGGCGGAACATGTAGCGGATCAGGAACACCAAGGTGCACAGGATGGTGAAGATCACCACTGCGATGACGCCTGCACACAGGAGGAAAGAAAAGATGCCCCTGGTGAGACCAGCTGCAGACTTCAACACAAAGAAAGAATCCCAAAATTCCTCTGAGCTGATTTGAAGCAACTTGGGCATGTGGGCATCACCACAATTGCTTGGTTTCCATTACACTAATATTTATATATAGATTCCACTATATACAAATTGCAGCTCCTTGAAGGCTGCTGGTGACTGTCATCCCATAGGTAAAAACTTCAACATTAATACCTTTTTACAGATCTAAGCTTTGCTGACCAAGAGGCAGAGGGTGCTGATCACATGGGCAGCTCTTTGAAGGTGAAATCTCTATGTTCACTTTCCAGTCAATGGCTATAAAGACCTATCGTAGCTCCTCTACATGTCCTTGAAAATTGTCTTGGTTCACTGTTGGATCACACCACCCACTAAGCACTGGCTGCACATAATTGCAGATGTTCCTGCTTTATCATCAGTTCTAGCCTTCACTGCTCTCCTTGCAATGGTCTATTTTGGGTTCAAACCTGTTACAGAGAAGTCTCATGGATGTTATCCTCTTAGGCATAGGTATCCATGTGATAAAACAACATTGTTCCTGTTTGGGCCCTTCTCTACAGGCAAAGGAATCTTCCAGGATGAAGATATAAAATTTTCAGAAAAAAAATATTGTTACCAGCCAGAGTTATGTTATGCCACTTTACATTAACTGATGCATTGGGCAGGTGAACTGAGGCTGTTCAAGTGTGGCCTGAATTTTTCTGAGGAATGCAATGCTATCTTTGCAGTATTGCAGAGGTTTCAAAGTATAAGGAAAAGTTATAAGTAATAATAAAAATATAAATTAGAAAGGAAAAATTACACAGCAAATCAAGGGTAAACAACAAACCTAAACCTGGATATGGAAATATGCAGCCTTATTACCAACTGCAATTCAGCCATCAGAGACAAATACTGCAAAGTATCTTAGAAAAGTAGACAGTTTTCTTACCTCCAATAATAGCTGAGTTTCTGTTAACTCCATCTCCTATAGCTTGACCGTTGTATGGAAAATCAGCACTTGCTGTAAATAGAGAATTAAAGAAACTTCTGTAAAAGTTCAGAAATACATCCAACATCCTCAGATACAGCTTAAAGAGAACTGTGATTACTAGATATTTATCTATAGATGAATAAATCCAAAAAGATCTGTTAATATTGTCTAATCCCTCAGAACTACTTGCTTGCTCCTCGTAACAAAAATAAAATTAAAATAAAGGAGATACCCTTGGTAAGGATTGCTGCTGGTACAGGAAGACATTTGGTCTTTTACTAGCATAAAGTCAATAAGTTTTAATGGCAAAAAAGCACAAAACAAAACAAACCCCTCTCTTTTAAAAGTGTGTGATCATACTTATTATTACAGAGATTTTTGCCTTTGTCACTGCTACCTATTAAAGGCTTCAGAAGCTTTCAGGATTTTGTGACCACCATTGGGTACAAATTCAAGCTCCTAGAAAGAAAAAACCTGAATCCCTTTTGCTGCTGCACAGTCCAAGGTAAGAGAGGGGCTGCAGTTTCTGTTGGTGAGAGCCATAGAGCAGCCACTCCCCAGAGCACATGCCAGCACTTTTGCCACTCTGGGAGAAAGCCCAGCATGGCATCTGGGCCACTGCTGGAGCTGCTTTGGAGCTGAGGATCAAGACTGTGAGCTGGAGGAGCTGAGGCATGGGAGGCTGTGGATGAGGAGAGCCTCCAGCACACAGGCAAGGAGAGGAAATACAGGCAGATGTACCAGCATTCATTTGCCAAAGACCTGAAAAGGAGAAACTTCTTGCAGTAAAGTTGGATGAAATTTAATGAATTTGGATGAATTTGGATGGTGGCCTTGGTTTTAACCTCAAGAAACTATCACAGAGGCAATCTCGTTAATTAAACTTATCAGCATTTTCTTTGTAGTGAGACATATAGTGAGCAACTGGACACTGCAATGACTAAGCAAGCCTAGGGAGATGGGTGAGCAATTGCAATAATTTCCTTCTTTGCCACTGGACTAAGACATTGATTTTGAAATAGAGAAAATGTTGTTAAAAGTATGTTAACTGGAGCAAATTAAAATCATCAATGATATGAACTGCTTCTCAGGGCAGCCTTTAAAACCCCACTGTATTTTCCTTGTTTGATAGATTAGGTGATAGTGCCTGAAAATAATCAGTTGCCTTTACAGACCAGTGATGCATTCAGTATACCAAAAACTGGCTGAGGGAATTTGACTGTATTTCTGTTACCATGGACTAAAACCCATAATAAAGTTCCTTTTGTATTGTAAAGCAGCTGCACAAAAGAATGAATGGTTTCAGCTTGCCACATGGCCTGAAAAGAGGTGTGGGGCTAGAGTAGCCCTCTGTGTGCCTACTCTGGGAGACAGTTGAACCAGCTGTGTGTTCAGCAGCTGGATTTTGGCCGACTGCCTGGGGACAAACAGGAGTGTGCTTCTCAGAGCTCAGCAGAGGGGCCCTGTCCAGCAGTTTTTGCCAGCAGCACTTGTGCCTTTGACATTTGCTGGTGCTCTGGCTCCTGAAAACCTTCATCTGCACCCCTCTGAAATGAATCAAGCTATAAATTGTAAAAGATAAATAGATACCTGGTTCCGTATCATTGGATTTTGCTCCAAAGAACTGTGCCAGGACCATTAATGAAGCCTTTTTGGCACAGGATTCATAAACAGACCCTTGCAGTGCTAAAAGGGAAGGGCTGGCAGTGGGAAATCCTACTTTTAAACCTGCCCTCCCTACATCTCATGGAAAATCCTAATGCCAAATAATACTGTGGGGAAAGCATCAGTTTGCCAAATTACAAGGAATTCCTCTGCCATTCTAATGCAAAAGGAGGGCCCTTGTCATCTGAGCAGAACCACAGGCAGTTAACAAGTCCTAGTATTTGCTTTAGAGTTGGTCTCCTGTGTCCTCACACAAGAAATCTGAAAACCTACAATGGTCATAGTTCTTCCTTCCTTACAATTTAATATTATATTTTATTTTCTTCTAAAAGGTTATTTCAAGAACAATGGCACTAGTGAAGTGTGAAGAAAGAGGAAAGCTGCTGTTCATGGCAGCATGATCCCTCTTGAGCTGCCACATCACACTGGCTATACTACAAGGGATTCATGGCAGATGGAAGACCACAGTCTGTGATGTCCAACAAGCACTGAGGCACACTGCAGGATAAGGACGGACATGATGCAGGATATGGAGCTCCATCCTCGATCTTGTCTGAGAGCTGCTGCTAAGACTGGCCCCAATACTTCCACACACAGCTGCTCTCCATGGCACCCAGACATCTTACACAGTCAGGAGGAGCTGTCCCTCGGATCAACAAGCACGTGTGATTCACTCTGAGACTCTCCCCTCTGACAAGAAGGAAACAAGAACATGTGTGTGGGAGCAGGGGACACTAGCTCAGCAAGAGCTCATCATCAGATTGGCAAAATTGTGCCCTGCTGCAGCTGCTGGAGAACCAGGTGTGCTACAGGAAAAAAAAGCTTAGACTTTCATGAATCTTTTTTTTAAAGCACTTGCACTAATGTTGGCCGATATTATCACCATAATTCATTAACTGCTGTTCTATTATTCTTGTGCCACCAAGTCACCTGCTTGTGTATTATGGGGATTTTTTGATTAAAAAGTTGTATCTAAAATTGTATCCAAATGTGGGGTTATAGAATATATTTTGCTGCAAAAATATCCATCAATTTTTTTACTTGAAGTATTACTATAGATGGATAAAGGAGAAAGAAAACAACTAGTTTCCTTTTTTAATAGAACATTCCCTTGAAATTCTCCAGTAGCTTCTCAAAAGATCAGAAAGAGCTATAGGTCAGAGGTCTAAGAACCACAAAAGGGCAATTCCTGCCACAGCAATTAGGCAGAAAAGAACATATGAGGGTACAGTCCTTGACCCTCCAAGATGAGCTCAACAGAGTATTGTGCCCAACAGGTACCAAGTGCAGGTATTTCAGACACAAGTTACATCATTCAAATGCATGGGGAATCCTCTCTGACCTTACTACAGTCAGATTCCTTAGCAATATTAAACCAAAAAGACAACTACAAGGAGTTTTTCTTCCTTTGCTGCTGGAATTCAGGAACTAAAAGAGGAAAGAACACATTAGAGCATGCCGACAAAGGGACAGCAGGAATACTGATCCTCTGGTAAAAACACAGAAGACTATATAAAGAGCTGTTCATAGGTTGTAAAGAGTAATTCCTAAAACAAATCTTCCCTAGGTTTCTCCAAGTAGCCAGAGTCTCATGTGTGTGACTCAAAACATGAAGAACAGAGCAAAGAGATTTTTTATCTGTCCTGGGGAACAGAAAATCTATCCTGAAAAGCTAAATATTGACCCAAGAAATGTCCTGCCAGCTGCCTGAAATCCTCTTCACACGCAGCTGTGGCACAGAGCCATCAGTTTGCTGTCACAGTGCAGCAAAGACCTTTTCCTAAAACCTGCAGCTAGTGCAGGGGCAGATTGCTCTGTACCAGGAAATGCTAAGCTCCTCTGCGGCTTATGAACATCCCTTCGTCTGCTTCCCTTCCAGGATCCAAGCTGGCTGATGCTGTTCTTTGCATTGCTATTCTTTGCACCCTGTCTTTCCCCATCAGGTCATCAGGTTTGCTTCAAACATCACCATCCTGAAGCTAATTTATGTGAAAGGACACTGTGCACTTTGCTTTCTCTTTCTTTCATGGGTTGCTGCTTACAAGGCCATGGTTTCAATAAGCACAGAGTAAACCTACAGAGTCTATACTTATGTTTTGCTCTTTTCAACTTTCTGTTATTAGGGTAAATGGGGTTGAAGAAACTTTGCAGCACCTGAAAGGGTGATTAAAGACTGACTGCAGGCAAATTCCATATTCTGGCCATCATTTTAATGGCATTAGAAGCTTTAGATGACCACAAAAATGCAATAGGAGACCTACCATCCTTCAGCATGCCCAGCATGGTCATTGCCACAGTCAGATGCAAAACAGCAGCCCTTAATGAATGGAGAGGGAAGATGGGACTGGATAAACAGAGCACAATTAGGATTAGATATTAAAGATGACAGATGTGCTTGGTTTAGCTGAGTGAATTAATTCTGCTTCATTATGACAGGCATGATTTTGCATCTACCATTTTCAGAGGGAAAATGTTTTACAATGGATCCCACATAAAAGCCTTTTGTAAATTCACAAAATTGAGATAAAAAGATGGCCTTGGTAAAGTAGTCTGGAAGGTGAGTGTGGGCTGAGAAATGAGCAAAAGGCTGTTCAGTAAAGGCAAGGGGAAACCCAAAACCAAAGTGAGGTGGCCATTTTCAGGTAAAGAGCAGCATCAAAAAGTACACAGTAAAAACGCAAATTTTGTTTTGAGACACATTAATAGGAATGTTATACAGAAGTCATTGAAAGCAATTTGTTTAACTGAACTTTTTTCTGAGTGGGCAAATCTTGGTTAAAATATACCACATTACAAAGGAGGATACAGTTTAGATTTGCTCCAAAAAAGGAAGTGTGAGAGTTATCACAGGTTTAAAACAATCAATGAAATGTGAAATGCTGGAAAGTGAGCTTGTTCAGACTAGTATCTTTTGTGCTGCAAGACTTCTTTGGCCTTTCATCTTTACAGATGTCCACAGTTTTGAGAGGTGTTCGTCCATTGCTAAAACCAGTTGGGTTTTCGCATAAATATGAACTGGAAAGCAACCAGAACCACCAGATCAGGTGATCACAAGGAACATCAAACCCACATCAATCAAGGCATTGGTTGGAAGCAGAACAGTAAGATAAAATAAAAGATGTGAACTATAACTACTTCCTAATTCTACTTTGCAGCCAAGCATCCAAGAATTGACTTTGCAATGACAGCAAATGCTCATTTACATGTTAAGATTTTGAGAAAGTGTTGGACACTAGATCCATTCACTAATCTGGTTCTCCATAGGACCACAGCACAGAGAAAAATAAAAGCAAGCTCTCTGGTGTCATTCTGTAAATTATGTCAACTCTGCTGGTCAGGTGAGACGGTACTGCTGTGGTTTGAAA